TTTTTTTTTTTTTTTGCATCCTGCCACTATGATCCTTCAGCTTGGCTAGCAGCAAAAACCCTCTTTCCAGATCTAAGCTTAATATTGCCTCTTATACTCTGCATCCCAGGTCATTTTCTTCTTTGATTTTAAAGTCCTATGAATTATCGTCCTTTTTTTTTCTCTTTACTCTTCCTTTTTTCCTCCATGCATTTTGATAAAGAGCATTTAAGGAACACGGACTCTCTCCAACAGTTGGGTAGATGTTATTCTTGCTTGCTGTGGAGATAGAAAGCAGGCTGCTTGGGATGCAAGCCTAGAAAATCCATTCTAGTAAAAAAAAAAAAAAAATCCATTGGCTGGAACAGTACAGGCTCTGGAGTAACATTGCAGCCAGACAGCAGTGACACTGTGCAGCCCTTGTAGTGAGGCACCCGGAGACGGTTGAGCAATGCTGTAGCTTTAAGCAATGCAGAACCCGCATTGTTGTGTAAGGGGAAAGGGTGGGTTCTTTTTATAAAAAAAATCAACTGAGACATATATCCTTTTGAAATTTTAATCTCACTTCTTCAAAACTGCTTATCCTGGTAGAATTGGTTACCCCCCACTTTGCCTTCTCTGCAAGCAGAATCAACCTCATCTCCTGCCACTTAAAAATACTACATCTTCTGGTAATTTGAACCACACCCTGAACTTAATCATCAAAAGTAGGCCTGGCTGGGAGCTCACGGGGTCCTTTTATATGATGAGCCATCCCGGTGCCGTTCCTGCTGATGTTTCACTGTCCGGTGCATAAAATACCTCCAGTGGCAGAGATCCCACAATCTCCCTCGGGGACTCCAAGCCTTTGCTTTCCTGTCCTTCCAGCTGGAATGTGACATTCAGAATTGCAAATAAAATTGGAGTGAACTAGGGGGCAATGCTGTTATGCCTGTTGTACAGAGGAACTGAGGCCCTGGAGATCCAGTGTGCTGATCCTTAAGGGTACTTAAGGGCCTAACTCCCATTGAAATCAATGAACTCTGCAAGTTGAGTGAGCTGCACCCAAAGCAACTTGCCCAAAGTTGCAGAGAAAGCCAGTAGCAGAGCAGGGGATTGAACTGCAGGCTACTGCTCTAGCTCCTGGGCTGTTCTTCCTACTGGTGCAGCTATGAAATGAAATCAGCCAGTTTTAGAAGGAACCTCACCCAGTTGCTGCACATAGGCTCCTGCCACAGACTAATTGTGCTCGTTAGCCAGCTGCTGGCTTGCTTAGTGCTTCCATTTCCCTCTCTGAAACAAGGATACCTAGCTCAAAGGGCTTGTTTGGAGGAGTACCATGCAGGGTCCTGAGGGAGAATGAGCAACTGCAGTTGCAGCTGAAGCCCAGCAACTGGGAGGGAATTGCTGGGGACATTAGCAGGATCAGTCCTGATGTTTATGAAATGCTTGGAGACCAGTGGGCAGAAGAGGCCCTGGAGACACCAGGCATCAGTGTTATAAAGGGTTCCTGTCTTCCATCTGCTTTCTGGGCCTTCCAGGTTTGGAAACAGCCCTTGTAGCTGCCTCCATTCCTCCCAGGGGCACTGAGGCAGGACAGTGCGGAGGGGTGTGAGGAGAGCAGAGATGTTAGTCTGGCCTCTAACAGCAAAAACCTGCATGAACTGTTGCTTTAATGCAACCCAAAGAGAGCAGGAGATGGAAACCTGCATGGCCATTTCAGCATCCTGCGGAAGAGCAGGGCTTTCCCTGAGAACTGCTGGACATCCTTTTCCAAGCTTGGCCTGAAGCCAGTCTGGTCAGCTCTTGTAAGCCAGGCTGGGTCAGGTTGGCTGGACAAGGAAAGGCAGTGGTGTTGTGGGTGGGCTCTGCTTTTCTGGGTGAGTGGATATTGGTCCTGGAGTGAGGGAGGTGCTGCGCTGTTGGAAGTCAGGGCTCTTTGTGCTCATTAAGGTCTCATTGTACTGTTCATTAACAATAGATGGGAAGGGGTGTTAAACTTGGTGGGGTTGGTCAGAATCTAACCTGACCAGAGCATAACTGGGAAAGTTAATTACCTTCTTCCTTAAACAAAGAAAATACCACATAAGGACAGGTGTGGGATGGCTTCTGCTTCCTGGCCTAGCAGAGGCTGCATTTTGCTTGCTCATGAGCTAGTGGCTCCAGGTAGTTTGCGTGGAAAGTGGTTGTGGATGGAAGGCATGGTGGTTAATCTCATGTCTGTCTTACTGTGGCAGGTGCCATTAGCAACCATGGGAAGCTTGGTTGAGTGAGGTATGAGTAATCTGCCTGAGTTGACTAGGAGGGCTGAGTTTCGGTGTCTCATTTTCCATCTCCCTGTTTCGTCCATTGCTATAAGATTTTGGGGCCACACAGAGCCACATCCTATGAAAACTGCTGCAAGCTTCAAGTGTAGAATTCAGCCCCTCTTTTTGCTGCCTAGCCATAACCCAGGAATCCTGTCCAAGCCTCTCTGCCACCCTCCCCTGCCCCTTCAGGAGTCCCTGCAGCAGGAGACCTAGGAGACAGAGCAGCGTGACAATGGGATGCCTACACCCTGACTGTCTTGGTTTGCTGCAGCATCCTGGAGAGGTTGTTGCAGCAGGGTTGTGAACAAGGGAGCTGGCAGGGCTGGTCTGGTGTGAACCAGGGAGCAGATGGATGGCTTCCTCCTTTGATTCTTTACACCAGCCTGCAGCTATGCGGGTATGGATTTGCCAACCGCTGCAGACTGGGGGCAGGAACTTTGCTTTCCTTCTATCAGTTCTGACTCCTGGGGGGCTATGCACCAGTTGACTGGCCATTCCCCCAGCACCATGCTCACATGCCCCTGGATCTTGCTGATATTTTTGGGTGGATGAGTACTTTCTGCCTAGAAGAGCCTCTTCTCTGTATGTAATTTCTCTCTCTCTCTCTCTCTCTCTCTCTCTCTCTCTTTCTCTCTCTGTCTTCCCTGTTCAGGACTGGGAGGTTCTAGTTCTTCAGAAGCTAAAGTGGGACCTAGTGTCAGTGATAGCGAATGACTTCTTGGCTCACATCCTCCATCGGCTCCCACTTCCCAAGGACAAGGTGGAACTGGTGAAGAAACATGCGCAGACCTTCATTGCCTTGTGTGCCACAGGTGAGCAGCAGAGGAACAGAGCCCCTGGGCCTCGTGAGGGCAGCCCAGGCTGGAAGAAAGGCTGATGTTTTCACTGACTGTTTAACCTTGGGCAAATCACATGGGACTTGACTCCCTAGAGGTACTGAGCATCTGTGTCTCTTGAAATGAGAGCCTACATCCCTTACAGTAAGGCCCAGAACTGCCCAGTGACTGTTTCCCCCTCTGCCAGATGGAGCTGGGGACTTTTGAAGGCCTGGGACTTCATGTTTGTGTGATACTTGGTTGGAAAGTGTCATGGGAGGGCAAAGCAGCAGCGAGCCTTTTTTCGCACTGGCTAGAGCCGGGCGTGGGGCAATCGACTCTTCATGGAAGTTACTACTTGTCTCGCAAGCTGTATAGACTTGGACAGCCCCCCAGGCCTCTTGAGTGGAAGGGGTTACACTAAAACACTGCTCCAGAGGGTGCCTCGCACCCCCTGCCCCACTTTGCTCTGAGCCCCACTTCTGCATCTTGGACAGCATGAGTACGGTTCTGAAAGGCTGAGCTGGCAAAATCTGGTGGGGGCTGCTCCCTGCAGCGTTTTCCCCAAGCTAATCCTAAACCGCCCGAGCATTGTGGCTTTCAGGACTTCCCTGAGGAAACTATTCCACAGCCAAACAGATCCTGCTGGGTTTTTTTGGATGGGTGGCTTACATTTTCCTTGGCTTAGCTGTGCTCTGTTCCAGTGAGTCATACCAGCTGCACCACCCTTTGCCTGTCCTGCATTTCAGACCCCCCCTTAGCTTTATGTGGGTGCTGCAGTCCCAAGCAGCTGCGCTCACAAGACTCCTTGTTGTTTCTTTCCCTGCCTTGGATCCCTAGATTACACTTTCACCATGTACCCTCCATCCATGATCGCAACGGGCAGCATTGGAGCAGCCATCCACGGCCTGTCTCTCTTCCCCCATGCTGGAGAGGCGCTCACAGAGCTGCTGGCTAGCATTACCGGCACGGAGTTGGTAAGTGTTCACTCAGGGGTCCCTTGCCAAAGAGATTTTGGAGTCAGGAGACAGAAAGTTCCTGTATGTTTCCTGTGTGTCCTCCGACAGTTCATTTCCTCTGCCTCGGTTTCCTCGGTGGATGTCCCAACAAGGCTTGCTCACTTTTGCAAAGTGTGTAGAGAAAAGGTGTTTTCTACTGCAAACAAGTATATTATCTCTGCATGGGCAAGATCCTGAAGAAATCAGCTGATCAGACCACTCTGTGTCTCCACTGTGGGGTAGGAAGCCAGCTCTGAATCTGGTTAGGGGTCTAGATGTGGAATCCAAGCTGGCAAGCAGCCTGTGGGCTGCAAGGGATCATCACCAAAGGTCTATTACAAGTGCCACATTGGATCACAGTGTAAAACTTGATCAGCAGGTCCCAGGCCTCCCAGCAGAGGGGCAGGAGGTGGGGCATCAGGCATAGGAAGTGTGTATGGGGTCAGGAGAAAAGCCCCTGTCAATCAGGAGGAGCCAAGAAGGGACAGGGAGGATAGCTGTTTGAACAGGCATCTGTCAGGTGCCACGATGGGGCCCCAGTGTCTAGCCCTGAAGTATCAAGTTGTGTCCCTGCGGGCTGTGGGGAGAGGCAGGGGACTGGGTTATTCTCTCCTGCTCAGGCCTTGGGTGTAGATCACTTTTATTCTCCAGTTTCAGGATAAAGGTGTCAATGGTGCCACCCCATGAGTACCCCTTGGAAGAGACGGGGATCAGCTGGAAGGGGTAGAAGGCATGTTCTTTATTGAGTCTGCTGGATGCACACAGATGCTGTGGCCGTCTGCAAATCCCAGACTCACAAACTCAGCCAGTAGTGCCTGGGGTCACCATTTAACATTTCCAGAAGCCTTGGCCTGGACTCAGCAGTCTTGGCAGGGGGTGGACAGTGCTAACCAACCAAGTGCAGTAAGCCTCTGAGCTGCAGCCTCCTGGGACCCAGCTCTACTGTCTGCCCCACCCCTCCTGTGGGTCTGGCTAGTGCTGTGGCTAGCTGGGATCACAGGTGTGGGAATCTGCACTGATAAAAGTAACAAGCAAGGCTATCATGGGATAGAGCATGGAAGCCCCAACTCCTGCCCTGCCTTTTCCTAGGACGCTGGCCCCAGCTGCCCCCCCCCCCACAGCCCCTGCAGCTTGTGACCTGCAGTATGGTGCATGATTGCTGCTTACTGAGGCTGGCCACCCGGTCACCTGAGGGTCCAGATCGCTTTCACAGCAGGGTGGGGAGCATAGAGCCTTTGGAAAACAGGCACAAAGGGAGGCGTCTGTTCATCTGAGCGGACAGGTGTTAATGGGATCAGGTGGACAAGGGTGGAGGGGACCAGGCTCAGCATCTGCTCATCTCGTCCAGTGTCCGGTTGCAGCTGCTCTGAGCACAAGCAGGAAGGGAGCCAGAAGCTGTTGGGCATTCCAGGACTCCGTCGGAGCCAAACAGCAGGGCTCAGAGGGGCTGTGACTTTGGGGAGAGGATGAGGAGCTTGGACTGGGATAGCTCCAGGACCCCCTTCTACACGTACGGGGCCTTGGGAGCCTTCATTCGGCCACAGAGCCTTTGGTCTTTTCATCTGCCCAAGCTCTGAATGCTTGGACTTCCCTGATGGCAGTCGGGGAGCTGAGAGAGGGATCATCGCAGCCTGGCATTGTCACGGAGTCGGGCTGGGGGGTGGTCGGGAGGAGAGAGACACTTTCTTTGCTCAGCAGTTTTTTGTTCAAGTTAAAAAGTCGCTCTGAATTGCCTGCAGCCAGCTGCTCGCAAGCTGCTGCGGTGAATGGGGCAGAGGCTGAATGCTGCCCTGTGAGCAGAGTTAATTGAAGCCAGCGGAGGAGAACAGGTGGGAAGCAGGGAGGATTTCAAAGACATGCAGGGGGGAACACAAAGGGAAGATCAGAGGGCAGCAGAGCTGTCAGGGCTGAAAGCTGTTACCAGGCTGCACCCCCCCTTTGCTGGCCCCTCTCCTGCAACCCTGGGTGCCAAACACAGCCTTTGCCCCCAGTGCCCCTGGTCCCAGCTTCCATCTTTGGACCGATCTGGGCTCCAGGGCTGACATCTTGAGCTGCAGACATTACGATGGACCAGCAGGAGGAGCCCTTTCTGCCACACGGGTAGAGGCATTGCAGAAAGACCCGTGAGCAACTGGGCCCCGTGGTGCTAAATGCTGCACAGCCTCAGACCAAAGGTAGCATTTGCCCCAAGGTGCTCGCAGTCTAACCAGAGGACAGTATCCCCCGAGCTCTCTGAGACACGGTTCCAGCAGCGAAAGCACAGGAGCAACGTTTCATCCTCAGTCTCCTAGGTTTTGACTCTGTCATTGATTCGCTGCTTGAGTCTGGATGACTGCCCCCTCCTGCCTCCACCCAGGCCTTGGTGCCCCCCTCAGTTCACCATTGAGCAGCTGGAGGAGATGCTCGGAGGGCACTCACAGCGCTCTGTTGTGACTCCAGGAGGTCGCAGCATGAACTGTCCCACTTTAATTGAGCCACCTCTGCTGCTAGGGTGGTAGATCCCTGCCTGGGGCTGGTGGCGTCTGACCCAGCAGGGTATGGGGAGGGGATCTGTTCGTCCTGGCTGTAGTGGGACTGCATCCACGATGCAGGTTCTCCAAGGACTCGGGGTGGCCTGCTTCCTCTTCAATGAATGCATGCTCTCAAGTGAGCAACTCCTACCCCTTATTAGGGGTTGGGTGTCCCCGCCCAGCTGCCTCCCTGAGTACAGATCCATCCCCTTAGTTCCTTCCCCATTCCCTTATGATGAAGGCCAGATCTCGTGCATCTTTCTGATGCAGAGGAGCCCCAGAGGCTGAGCTCCGCCCTAGGACAGGCAGGGCAGGGACAGGGCAAGTTCCCCCCAGGCCTTCTCCGCCAGTGTGGAAGGCCCTGGCACTGGGTGGGATGGATGCAGCTGCTCCGTCAGTCACCTGCGGATGAGTCGGTTACGGCTGCAGCAGCTTTCATAAGGTACTGCCTTCAGTCTCAGTTCCTCAGCAGATGGGCTCATCTGGCCACCGCCAACTGGCCCTAAATGTGACCCGGCAGCACCAGGGCTTTGTTCCCCTCCCCACCCCCCGAGACGCAGCTCTTGTGCTGGTCCCCTTCCTCCTCATCCGTGTCACGGAGCCACGATAAGGACCAGAGTGGCTGTTGCTGGGGCCCTTGCAATGCAGCTCTCCTCGCCTCATGGCTGCGGGCAGAGGCCACACTTACTGGAAATGACTTAGGGAAGGGGAGGTGGGCGTTGCTATTTTTGCTTGCCACATCCTCTGTCAGTTTCTAAGAACCAGTTGTGGATTCCTGGTAAGAGATTTGTGTGTGCGACAGACTCTTGTGACCAGAGATGGCCCCAGGGGCGTCCGGCCTGGATCTGGCCAGCGCCCCAACCTGGCCTGTGCAAAATGCCACCTTCCCTCGCCAAAGCGCTCAGGCAGAGCCCCCGAGAGAAGGCAAGCTCTGCCCTTTAGAGATGCAGGAGTGCTGCCGCTGGGGTAGCGTGAGTCACTGCTCTCGAGTGTCAAACTGCAGGAGTTTCCTCATGTGCCTCGGTCTGGCTGCGGGGAGGGGTGCGCTACATGCAGCTCTCGGCTACCTGAAATCCCCTTTGCTTTTGGTGTAGCTGGGCCGGCCGCTTCCCACGCCTGGCTCTGGAGCGAGGCACGCCGGAGGGGTCACGAGATGGTGCAGCATCGGGTTCTCTAGAGCTGTGGGGAAAATTGGCTGACGGTCCCCGAAGGGTCAGCAACGTGCAGGAGGCTTGCAAGGAGCACGCTGCATCGCATGGGTGCCGCGGCCTCTTAGCACAACGCTGCTGTCCCCAGACCCGAACTGGCAGCTGTGGTGTCCCTCAGATAGGGACCGTGCCTGGAGTCTGAAAGGGCTGGGTCTGCTCTGTGTGCCGGGCAGGGAGCTGAGTTAAAAACAGATTTCCTGAGTGATCTTCCCTCACGCAATGCAGGATAGGAACTGAAAGGCCAAGGCCTCTGGGTCTAACTTAAGTCCGCAGCAGGTGCCAGATCCCGTGGCGATTTGTAGCTAAAGCCTCGCAGGCTTTGGGCTCCGACAGAGGAGACCCGTGGGGCAGAGCTTGGGTGCTGCAACTGTTGGAGGGTCCCGGCGATGCAGTGAGTTCCCCTCTACTTCCGCTGCAGAGTGGAAGAGCTGCTCTCATGTATTTAGGGAAGGGGTAGGAGCCACCATCCATATTGTCCACGTCGGTAAATCCTGGGGCAAATTTTGTTTCCTCTCCCAATGGACGAGCCACCATGAGACTGTGGTGCTCACACTCACAAGTTGTCTTTCCAGTGACATCTCCTGCTACCTTTCTGTGGTGGGGTATGTAATGAAACAATGAGCCTGGTAAAGCAGGGAGGTGGGAGGAGATGTCACTGCAGAGCTGCCTCTAAAGATTAAACTCAAAGGAGACTGGGAGGAGGACCTGCCTGTCCCTTAGATGGTCAGAAAGCCTGTCCAGGTTCGGCTCCGAGCCATTAGCAGGGCTCTTCTCATTTTGGAGAGACCGAGTGGAACTGAAACCGCTGATTTTTTTCCTTCTCTCACAGGACTGTCTGAAAGCTTGTCAGGAGCAGATTGAAGCAGCCTTAGCCGAGAGCTTGAAACAGGGCTCCCGATCCCAAGAGTACCCCTCTACCAAGACTTCTGCTTACCCAGCCAGCGAGGATGGCAACGTTACCAGCACGCCTACAGATGTCACAGACATCAACCTGTGATGAAGCCCGCCCTTCCTGAAAGCCACCCAGCCCCATGAGAACTGGACCTTGCTCTGGAAGCTGTGAGACCTTCTGGTTCCTACCGTGCCTGTTAACTCCGTCTATCGGGAACACGCTGAGGATCTGGTCCTCATGCTAGGTGGGTGGCAAAAGTTACCTGCTGTCCATCCATCAGCCAAGCTGCATTAGAGAAGGGTGGGAAGGAGAGGTGTTGGTGACCCCTGAGGAACAGGGAACCAGGTGGGTCTTGGAGGCAGGTTAGCATCATGCAGCAAGTCACTGCCTATATGCTAACTGGCCTCTCCAGGTGGCAGCAAGGGGAATCTTTTCATGGTGCTAGGGTTAAAAGGCGGATCAGGAGAGGGCAAAAAGATCTTAACTACAGTTTTAAAAGTTCCTCAGTTTGAGTTCATCTTAAAACTAGTTGACAACTCTTTGCTGCCTCGGGGAGAACCTCAGCCTTAACCAAGCTCAGCCTTTTTCACGTGCCCATTGCGTGCCTGGTGAGGGATAGCTCTGCTACTATCTCGATTTCCACGACAAAGAACCATTTGTCCAATACAAAGCAGCCCCCAGACCATAGTGCTGCCCATTGGCTTGTTTTGTGGGCAAGATGCTGGGATTAACCATCAGTTAATAAACCACGGGAAGGAAAATAACAGAGGCATGAAAATTCTTATCCTACCTGCTCCGTGCCAGGGTGGTTCTGGCTCTCCTTTGCAGGAGGGTGTAGTGGGGACTGCTTCTGCCATAGACTGAGGAGCAAGCATGTGGCCTAATGTTTCCTGGCTTTGTTTTGTTTTTTTGCTTGCTTTGTGTAAGCGCTCCCTGTCCTTGTGGGCTAACTCTTCAGAGCTGGTCACTAAGGTAAAAAGCCCTTGCAACAGCTAACAAATACTCTTGGCATGAGGTTTGGTGCTGGTGTGAGGAGAGATTGTGGCCATTTCGCTTAAGTTACGTTTGCTTCCTGCTGTTTCACAAACACTGCTTAATTTATTGTTAAATAACTGCGAGGAATGGGGCTGGTGGGGAGGAGGAACTTCTCCGTTGGAGGGTAGGGATACCTTCCAAAATACACGTGACGCTCTGTCACCCCTCTCCATTAACCTACTGCCACAGGTGCCATGCATGGAAGATGGTTAGTTAGCTTAGACATATGACTTATAGATATACACTGAATGTGCTGCTAAAGTCCAAGGCGTGCATTAACTCTTCCAGGGGACTTCGAATGCACCCCGAGAACCCAACAGAGCACAAGAATTGCATTGCCCTTTACACATAAAACCATACATTATATATAAATTCTGCTGAGCACTCTAGGCGAAGATCGAAAAGAGTTTTGTGTTTTATTGTTATTGTTGATGCTCTTGTTTGTTAGTCTTAAAAAGGTATTGAAAAAAATGCTGCTTTTATGACACCCTAGTTTTCCAGGTCAACATGTTATGAAGCCCATAAGATTCCTGTCTGCAAAGGTGGGATGTAGAACATTGCTGCTTATCACGACTTCCAACCCACAGTGCACAGCTCATTTTATGACTGTGTCACCCTCCACTGGGGACAGAGGAACGAGAACACAAATAACTTCCTCCCAGTTGTTGGAAAGAGTCTTGTTTATCAGGTGGAGAAAGCTCAGGCTGCTTTTTACTTTCACTTCCACCTTCCTGATATGCTTAGCCTGATTTGCCAAAAACAGAGCCGTCTACCATTTATTTTTGCTAACTGGAAAAGTTAGGAGGAGCAAGATACCAAAGTTTGAAACCCGTTCAGTACACAGGATAGAATTATATGTTATATATATGAGTCTTAATTTAAAATACAATTGCTTACCGTACAGGAGGCCCATTGCTGTTAAAGAACCAATGACTTTATGATGTTGCAATTAAGTATTTAAAAAATAAAAAAAAGTTGAAGCATCTTAAGTTTTGAGGGTTTTTTTGAAAGCTGATCTTTCTAATGCAAACGTGGCCCTGTAGAAAGAAATCTAAATCCTTGCCTAAGCACTTTCCACAAACAGAACAGCAGCTTTTCTCTCTTCCTTTTCTGATTGCTAACCCAGGGTTAGTCACCCCAGTCATTCAGCCTTAAGCTGTATCCACACTGCAGCCTGCTGCTGCTGTACTTACAGTGACAAGGCTACAGTGGTTAGGGTCCCTGGTGCCAACAGATGGAGTATTTCTGTCCCCAGAATTACACCAGCTCCCCCAAAGAACACAGGTGCCATCAACAGAAGGTGCCTTTTCCAGGCAGAGCTGTGTTGGTACCCAAGCAGGCACAGCTACATCAGGTTTGAGGCGTGATCTTTTCCACATCCCTTGCCAATGCAGCTCCACCAACAGGACCCTGTAATGTAGACATAAATGGGCCTGCAGCCAAGTGACCATAGTCTCTCAGGTGTGGGTTAGCTGGCACTGCCATTATCTGTGGGGTGATCTACAACCCTTTATACCCCTTGAAATCTCTCCACCAAAATTTTCAATCTGGCCAGAGCCCTGCTGTGCCAGGGCGAGTGCACGCCACCAAGAGGAGTCAACTCCCCATGTTATCCCTTGCTGACTCCTCTAAAGGAAGGAGATAATATCAGGAAGCATGGGACAACACAAAGCCCACGCTCGGCACGCTGCCAGCTTGAAGTAGATAGGCTCCAGGCAAGTTGATTTCTGAGCTGCTCCAGAAGCAGATTGTTAAACCTGGCCCCTTAACAGCCCTGTTCCTGCTGCCAACAGGAGCTACAGAAAGCATTACCGTACTGCCAGGCCCGCAGTGCTGCAGGAGAGGCAGCTGGACTCTCTCAATTTGGGGCATTTACACCTGTGCAACCCCATTCAGGACAATGGGGGCTCGGGCACTGGGACAACCTGGGTACCAGCTGGGTCAAGATGCTGTGCAGCGAGGAAGCATGCAGGAAGGGGAGGACCCAGCCTGACATTTGGCGCTCAGGCTCAGTGCAGGGCTGGCAGGCTAATTTTCAAGCTGCAGGCACATCAGCTTTTGAGCTGGATGCAAAGGAAACTCCAGCAGGGTTTGGAGAGTGAAAGAAGAGAGAACTGCAAGATCTATTGGTGCCGACCATGCCCAGCAGGGATTTCATAGACATTAGGGGAGGAAGGGACCTTGCGAGATCATCAGGTCCAGATCCCTGCCCAAGGGGCAGGCAGTCAGCTGGGGTCAGATCACCCCAGCAAGGTGAGCATCCACATGTTTCTTAAAGGTATCGAGAGTAGGTGCTTGCATCACTCTGGGGCGGGGGGTCTATTCCAGACTCTGGAGACTTGGATGGTAGAGAAGTTTTTCTTGTGTCCAGTCTAAAACGGTCTTCCAGCAGCACCTTCCCTTGGAGTGCCCTGCCCCGGTGAACAGACATTCTCCCAGTTCCTGATGCAGCCCCCGGATATACTTCTGAGCTATTTCAGGAGAGCATCATCTTCCTGCCATGCTAGCTCGCCTGAGTAGCTCCTCAGTGAGAAGCGAGGCGAGTCGCAGCTTGGAGCAGAGTGGCAACTACGCGAAAGCTTAGTTGGAGAAGGATCAACCCCAGATTCTTGCATGAGCTTTGTGAGGGGAGAAGCAGAGTGTGGCGTAGCAAGGCTGAAGTGACAGGAAAGGTGGAAGAACTTAAGTGAGCGTCTCAGACTGAGCCAGAAGGCAGGTGGTCACAGCTCTGGGGAGCAGCAGCGGAGAACAGGAGCCTGGGGCTGGCAGCCAGAGCCCCAGGAAACCCCAGCTGACCCTTCAGCAGCGGCGTGGTGTCACACTGAGGACAGGAGATTTCCCTTCTCAGCTCTTTGCCCTTGGGGATTTCCCCCTTCTGAGCAGCCGGGACAGCCCAGCCGCTTTCTCACGCTCCCCTCAGCGCTGGCCTGCTTTCCACAGAGAAGGGCATGATCCTGGGTAACAGAGCGCAGCGAGCGAGGGCAATGCAGGGCTGGTGTGGAGGCAGACTCGGCGCCCACGCAGTGCTTCCTCCTCCCTCGCCTGGGGCGACAGCCCAGCCCGCAGGAAACCCTCAAGCGTTCTCAGCTCTCCGCGTATCTCCAAGGGCTGATGCACCACGCTCTTTTCTCCAGGCTGTGGCAAGTGGCCCTGACCTGCTGGCGAGGGCCCTTTCTTCCTGCCAGGTCCTCCGCGAAGGCAGCGAGCACAGCAAGCGCAGAAGCCCCCTCGCAGGCCAGCTTCGTGCTCTGAAGGGCAGCCCATGCAACAGCGATAGGACCAGCCAGGCCTGGCAGAGCAGCAGCTCAGGCTCCCCACCACTGCAAGAACCTGAATGCAACCTTCCTGTGGGGCCAACACTGCCCGTGACACAGGCGAGATCACATAGAAAAAGTCCGAGACAGAGAACCACGAATCCCCCGCACATCCCACCTCCAGATTTGCCCCACATGACTGGAAAGGGGCTCTGGGAACCTGGCAGGGCCAACCCACCTCCCTCTCAATGCCTCCCGGGTACCCAAGCCCCCTCTGCCCTGCCTCCATCTGCAGGCACGGCTCTCCGCTCACTCTCCCTCCTTGCCTGACGGCGCTCTGCCACCTGGCGGTGACAGCCCGACTTCCCTTCCCGCAGCCGGGGCCGAGGCACCATCAGGCAGGGGAGAGGTTACCCAAAGAGCAGGCGGGACAGAACGGGCCATTCAGGTGGAAGAAGGGCTCCAGCTCGGCACCTCCTGCCTGCCTTGGGGACGTGGCGGCCATGGCCACAGGAGGCCCAAGCAAAACCTGCCTTCACTACAAGCCCACAGATTTGCCCAGATGAACTCATCTGGATGGAAGAGATGAAGACCGCCAGCCTCAGCATGGTGGACAGCAGCTTGGTTTCTTTTAAAACCAATGGAGCGGATGCTAGCTGCATGTGGGAATGGGCAGCTGGACTTTTCTTGCACACGCTTGTCCTCTGGCCTGACTTTCCAGAGCAGGCATGAGGAGAAATCACATTAGCAACTTGTTCCAGTGCGGACCTGCTTCCAACTCGCTTGTGACTAGGCGTGAGTCTAACTGGGCAATAGCCACCTCGTGGCCTCCCCATGCCTGTACGAAGGCAGGTCCTGGCCTCTGCCACGTCCTCCCTCTGCTACATTTGTACAGTAGCCTGAATAGCTACCGAGGTGGAAGGAAAGAGAGCATGGCCCTGCTGACTGAAAGGTCAGGGCCTCCAGCGTGGCTGGAAGGCTGTGGGACGAGGGGTGCTCAGCGTGCTTCAGGCTTGGGTGTTTAATGACTCTGGTAATACCAGCGCTGCGGGCCTTGGAGCTCAAACTGATCAGTTTAACCGAGTCCCACTGCCTGCCTAGCCCTTGGGCAGTAACAACTTGGAGAGCAGAAAGCCCCAAGAGCTCCATCAAGCTCAGCACTCGTTCTGTCAGAGCCACCCCCAACCTCACCCCTCCACAGCCCCCCTTAGGGAGGTGAGCATGGGAGGAGTACTGTCACGACCATGCAGGGTAGCAGCAAGGGAATCTGCTGAGAACATCATCCACCTTACTTGTAGCGGGAAGCTAAATGGCTCACCCAAGCTGGTACCAGTGAAGGGAGCTAAATGAGAAGACCCTGGGGTCCCGAGTGCCACATCACGTCCCCCACTGAACCCGCTCTGAAACACCAAGCTGCCTGGTTTCACCCTTCTGCCACAGCCCCTTGCTCAGGGCTATTAATTCCTGGCTCCAGTGAAGCTCCCATCACAGAAGCCACCCAGATCACTGTAGCATGAAGCAGCATAATTCGTCGGCTCCATGCAGAGCACTTCCCCTGTGATGGCTCGTGCTAAACACTGCCGAGAGCTCTGCTAATCGGGTAGCAACCTCCATGCTAGCAAGTGGCGGTCCTGGGGGGATGCTGTCTCGGCAAACAAACCTGCAGCACTGGCTGGGTTTCCCGGAGCTCACCCCTTTGGATCACACTGTTCCTCCTGCCATGTTCACAGCCGCTGCGCTCATTCACTGCGCTGCGCCGACTACCTCAGTCAGGGAGCGAATGATTCTCCTGTGTGAACACAGACACGGCGCCTCCTCGAGCACATTGCCCGAGAAGCACATGGGAGCAATGTATCCTCAGTGAAATAAAAAGGCAAATCCCGGTAGAGGAAAGAGTGCAAGCCACACATCCCTAGGAAAGGGTTCTTTAGGAAGCACGCAGAAGTTGGCTATGCTGGCAGGACAGGGGATGGGACACCACACGTGCTGTCGGTGACCCCACAAAAAGCTCTTCCGAAAGGAGACAGCTCCCTGCCACAGGGTATGACCAGCAGCAGCAAGCACCTTAAAGGGGCCTTTTTAGTTCCAGCAGATGTTACAGCCCATTCAGAAGGTACAGGGAACAGGTTTTATTCAGACACAGGAACACGTCAGATCCCTATGCTCTCCCCCCAGTGCCACACTGATTATCATCACTGCTCAGACCTAAGCCAGGCAGCTTCCACCACTCAAGCTGGAGGGAGGGTAAGGTAAGCCCAGATGGAGAGAACCCAGCCTATTCTCATCTGCTGGGCAAGAGAGAGACAGCTTTGGGATCCCAGTGGCAGAAGTACACTCCCAAGCTGAGTCTAAAGGTTTAGCTCCCAAGCAGGGCGCCTCACTCTCATCCACGTAGATTCTCCAGCCAGGGATGAGCAATAAGACAGCCCTGGGCTGCAGCTTCTTACCGATGGAAGGAGTCTCTGCCTCCCTGCTGTTGCCCCCCTTCACTCCATTGCCATCGGCTGCAGCCCTTCCACATCCCGAGTCTTGGAGTTCACCAGCTCCCTCCTGATCTCGGGTGACATCTGCGGGTGGCAGTGGAACTTCAGCAGCTCCAGCAGGGACTCCTTCTGCTCCGAGGACAGGTCCTCCTTGTAGCGCTGGACGAAGGTCAGGAAGCACTGGTGCCACAGCACGGGCAGGGTGCGCTGGTCCCTGCGGAAGGCCAGGAAGTGAAAGACCAGGGCGTCCACCACGCGGAAGGGCAGCGCGTACTTCTTGTCGATGAGGAGGCGCAGGAAGATGCTGTTGGCGCCACTGTACTCCATCTCAGCGATCTTCAGCATAGCCGCGCTGCAAGGGGACAGTGGAGTCCAAGTATGCATGGAGAAGTAGGTAGGCCTGAGGCAGGTGCCTGTCAAACCCTCTCCAACTGAAGAGATCCGCCCCATGGGGCGGAGGCTGTCCCGACCCCTCTGTTCTAGAGCTGGGCACGAGCCCCTGCACAGCCAGCCATTCCCCATAACTCCCTTAACCTCTAGGAGAGCCAGGGAGCCACACAGGGGCATTGGCTACAAGGGCACTGGAGTGGGCAGCCCCCTTCTTCCTTCCCATCCCAAAAATAAGCACGTATTCCCACAAGGCCACATGGCTGGGGATGTGGTACATGCCACCCTACTCTGAAGTAATGGACAGTCTCGCTGTGTGCCCTGCCACTACGCAGACTGACTCCTCCTTGATCCTGTACTCTTGGAGAGCTGGCAGCAAAAGTAACCGTAGCAGCCTGGTCTTGCCTAGTGCTCACTTCTGCCATTCCCAATGGACTGGGCACTAAATGAGAAGGCAGCAAGTACGTGACATACTTGCGAACACTGCAAAGGTGGCTGGTGATGTGCTGAGCTAGGGGAAAGTGTGGCTGGAGCTTAAGGGTGCCTCCTGGTATAAAGAAATCTGCTGCAAGTTTAGCTTTTAGAATGGTGACGGGGGTCTCCTGGGAAGTGGTGGGACTGGATACAGCCCTGGAAGGACCCATGCAAGCCTAGAGCAGGTGGGAGATAAAAGGCCTTTCCAATCCCTATGAAAGGACAGGCGCAGCTTCTGGCAGGTCCCTGGCATTGCTACAGGATTCCCTGGATGGTGGCAGAACATGTCCATCCCCATCTCTCCACGTGCCCAGCAGACAGCCCGGCCAGCCCCACGGTACCTGGAGTGAAGCACTGGGATGGAGCACTTGGTGAGGATGCTCCCTATAATGATGGCTTCCCGCAGCGTGCAGGTCCCTGACTCGCACAGGGGAATCAGGATCCCTGGAATGGGCGTGGAGGAAGAGTTAAAAAAAAAAACAACAAAAAAAACAAAAAACCCCACACATTATTCATGGAGCTGGGGGACTCTCAGCCTCAGCCTCCAGTTTGGTTCCCCCCACCCTCCTACTCCCAATCTGTGTGCCTGTCCAAGCCACAAGAATGAAATCTCAGTGAGATGCGTCAGTGCCTCCTGCCTGGGCATCCACTCTGGACATGGGGCAGATTGAACACGGCTGGAGCCACAACGTGGTCTCATTCATCTGCCCTGGTTTCCCCTTAGCACCAGCCTCATTCTCTTCACTGACAGACAGGAAGGTAGATCCAGACCCAACCTCTAACTATTTGAGAGCCTGCCGGAGGCAGAGCCCACCCGACAGAACTGAGGGCTTGTTCTGTCTTTTTTTTTTTCTGAGGGCACTCGAATAATCTGTGATGTGAATTAAATTTTGGTGATGGAATACTGTGATCTGGTAGCGCTGGTTCAAGAGTCTTCTCTTCTGCACCCAAAAAGCCCTTCTACCTCTTACTTTCTTGTTCCCATCTTATACTTATGTTCATATTCCTCCCTCTTTTTAACTCTCAAGCGCACCTGGGGTCACGATGTACAGAACTTGGCTGTGCCGTGGACAAGAAATGTTGTTTCCACGAGACCAAAGACAGCAAGAAAATACTGAGTCCTCCACCCAGGTCTCTCCCACACCGTTTCTAATGACACCGGGGAATAAGGAACATGCACAGAGTCCAGCCCCTGCCTTTCTGCATGAGGTAGCTGTGCTGGAAGTCAGCCCAGCCCCTCCTGCACCTCAGTTCCCTTTTACCTTTGAACCAGGCCCCCGGCTTGAACAAGGCCTTCTTCAAAGCCATGTAAAGGTGGAAGTTGAGGCGCTTGTATTCAGCAATGTCATCCCTCACACGAGGGAGCAGCACCAGGTTGTAGAACCGCTGGGCCATCCTCTCCTTCAGGTTAGATGAGAAAATCCTGGCAGGAACAAGGGTGTGGGGAATAACTGAACTCTCACCCTCCATTCCAGACACTTCACTGCACCCAAGCAATCATCTGAGCTTCACCCATCTCCCATGACGCGTATAATGGTTTGTCGCCAGTTATTATCCACTAATGAAAGCTTCTGCCAGCTTTTCCGAAGGCAAAGTGATTGCATCTTACCTGGTTGCCTGATACGTGGCAGCTGCTGTCCATGTTTCTGGCTCTGTAATGTACAGGATCTGCTCCCAGTTAGACAGAGCGGGGATGATCTTAAACGCCTTGGGGAGTTTGCCACTCCTGTACTTGGACAGCACCTTAAAAAAAGCGAGTGAATACTAGCGGTTAGGATAGGGAACTGCTACACAGGCTTTCCACAGTCTGTTACTAATTTAAATGCGTCACCCTGAGAAAGACGGAGCAACTAAGAGTGAATGGCTGTTAAAGGGCTAGGGCAACTTGCCAACTGTCTGGAGGTTGTAATATTTGAAAAGTACTTCCCACTCCTTCAGTGAGAGGTGCTAGGTGAACAGCTGCGTTTCTATTTGGGAAGAAAGAGAGCACGAGAAAACACTCAGAAAAGCCTGAAGACATGGCATCAAAGCCGGTCTACACTAACTGTACTGAAACTGTGCTCCACTTGCAAACTTTTCCAGGCTCCTCGTCATGAAAGAATTTTAGCATCAGCTCCAGAATCTGCTAACTTACCCCCAGCTCAGCAGTAAAAAGCCTCTCAACACAAAGCCCTAATCAATATATTTGCCTAGAGCAGTTATGGTGGGAGGGGAGCATCTGCAGAATTCACGGTCTTCTGAATTACTCTGAAGTGCTACACAGCACTGTAACAGCCGTCCCAGAAGAGGCTGTAGCAAGTAAACGGTCACATCTGTAGCAAGCAAAGAGACTTTTTCATCACAAGCCACCAAGACAGAGAACATCAGCCGCAACGGCCAATGGGTCTGGTTTATATTAGTTATACTGGTCTATGCTATAACAACTCTTACTTCTCTGACACCCTTGTAAACCTCCAGTACCCGGGGGTCAAGCTGGGGTACGGGGAGGCCTGATATTTCTGACATAACCGTCTCCACCTCCGTTTGCTTCTCCGTGATCTTCTCCATGATGATATCAGCTAGGGTTCTCCTGGCAAACGCAGAGAAAGAAAACAAGTTGGAAATAGCTCTGGAAATGGATGCAAGAAGCCTGCTCTTTGTCAAGGCAGAACAGGTTAGCGCAGTGGGGGACAACCGTTTTGGCATGCGTGGCACGGCTGAAACCCTGCACCTTTCCAGGTGCCACTTCAATTCTCCCCTCCTGCCCAACCTGCTGCTCTCCCCAATCTGCTGCCTGCCACAAACAGAGGCTACACATGTCACAACGAGCTGACCACCCCTGCTCTAGTGCACTGAGCCCTAGACTAGGCTTCAGGAGACCCCAATTGTAGTCTAAGATCTGCCACAGGGTTACTGTGGACCTTGGGCAAGTCAGTTCCTGAATCTGTACTTGTTTCCCCCTCTATGCTTTACATGTCTTAACTTTTCAGACTGCCAGATCTTGGGGCTGGGATTGCCTCCTGCCCAATAACAACTGGGCCTTGATCTCGGGTACTGCACACAGTATTTAGGAACAGGGAGTTTGTGCCACACATCCATCAGTTCTCGAACATAGAGTACTATCTGCTGCTTGGCACCCAGAAAGGGGCCATCAGGACTCCTGGGCTGTTCCTAGCCCTCCCTCAGACTTCCTTTATGAGCTTGAACAAGTCAACTCTCCATGCCTCAGTTTCCCCAGCTGCAGGCCGGAAACAACACTTTAGGCAGCCACCCCCATCCATGTGCTTCCATGAAACGTTAACCCTATTCCAGTGCCGCATGGTGGCAGAAGGTACCGCTCGCTGTTCAGAAGCGCCACATTGCAGCTCATCTTCTACCTTAGCGGTGGATTCGCGTTCATGAACATCTCGATGGCTCTCTCATCCTCAGGGTTCACCGTCACCTCTTCACAATACTCCTCCTTCGGCACGGACGTGGCCTTCTCCAGCGTGGGCCACTCGTCATCGTCCTCTGCGTCGGAATCCCCATCACGAGATGCAGATCCTGAACCCAACAAGGCATGGTTAGGCTTGGACAAATTGGAAAACTAAGCACCTCTGTGCTGTACCAGTTAGCTCTCCATACTGTAGTCTCTCATCACCTCTTCTACAGTGATGAGTGGTTTGAGAGGTTGATGTGAAGAAGTTCAACAGCCCAAGGGGATGGGCACCAGAGACTGCCAGGGCCTTGGCTGAAGACACAGTGAGGACTGCCACCCACTTTTGATTAAACGGAGCACATCTGAACCGCAACATCATCACTGAGAGAGACCCTGCCAACCTGAAGTTCCAATGATTAGAGAGTTATTAAGCAGCTCCCAGTCCTACCTCTGCACCCGAGTTCCCCCTGCTTTTCTTGTGGCTTTGCAATAGCACTGCCCTATTTTTAAACACTTTTTCCCCCCCAAACCTTGTTTCAGGATGGATGCCCACAGACACAGGGAAAGCTGCCTCGGGGGCTGAGCTTACAGGTCCATGCATTCACACACGCCTTTGACATCACACATGGGGGCAGTGCCATCAACTTTAATATACAAGATATAATATTTCTCTTTGGTCTTTCAGTTAGCGTAGATGTTCCAGGTAACAGCAAATAAAAGGTCTTCAGATTTCCAGTGTCTGAGGATTACTTTAGGTTGACACATGCTGCTGGGGCTGGACTAGATGACCTCCTGAGGTTCCTTCCAACTTTAATTTTCTATGATTCTATGCTTTTTAACGGCCACATATACATCCAGCAAGTTCCCAAGGCAGAATCTAAATAATTTCTTTCCAGTGCTCTTTGTTGAGAGGCTGGAGAGAGTGTCAGTATTCGCAGTGAATGTGGTCTGACCCGCAGCTACAGCCTCCTGGCCTAGCAGATGGCCCTGGTCTAAAACATCACTAGTGTGACAGAAAGACATCTATTCAGCTCAAATTGGCTAGGTTTGACCGCACAGCAATACCATTTAGTGACAAAAACAGGCTGCACGGATGCAGGCTGCTACAGAGCCTGGCTAGAAGGGGGTTTGATGCAGGGAATGATCTCAGTCGTAGCAGGAGGAGTACCGAGGGGTGTCTGGTCTATGTCTGACCCTCCCTGCTCCCTGTTTGTGTTATTAAAATGGAATATAAAACCACGGCTCGCCCCTTTTGTCTTCAAGGAGCATACTTGACCAATCAATCCCAATGGGAATCCATCCCATCCGTGCCCTAGGTCAGTTGCTGTTTATCAATACACAGGAACAACCGTGATGATTTAAGGCAGGGAGAATTTCGGGTTCAAGGACCCAGTGAATAAAGCCGGGGACCGGATGGGCATCAAGAAGCAGGGATTCAGTCCCGGCTCAGGCACAGATTTCTTGCAGGACTTTGCTGCTCGGAAAACAAGACCCACAGGGGGCTGAGACCTGCATTTGTGGGCAGGGGAAAAATAAGACCAAATACAAAATGTCCTTCCTGCCAGAGCAGAGGGGATCCCGTGAGGTCCCTTCCAGCCCTAAACTTCTCCGGGAGGCGGTCAGACACTGCAGGGACAGAGCACGGGTCAAAGGGGACGAGAAGGCAGGTCCGGGACAGCACGGGGCGGTGTCGGGGTTGCCCTCCTCGCCCCTGGAAGGCAGCACCGCCTCCACGGGGCCCCGCGCGGCGACCGCGCCCCCGCCAGCGCCACGGCCGGCCCTGGCGTTCACGGCGGGGAAACCCCGGCAGCGGCTCTCTCTCCTCCGCCACCCCCCGCTCACCCAGCACCGTGGTCTTCCTCGGCGGCGCGGCTCCCCGGCCCGGGCAGTGCTCGGCCTCCAGCTCCTCCTGCTGGATCCGCGCCTGCTCCAGGATCTTCCGCGACAGCTTCTCGTCCACATACTCGTCCTCCGCCTCCGCGGCCGCGCCGCGCCTCTTCGTCCTCCGGCTGGGCCGCACGGCCTGGCCCTGCAGGATCTGCTCGGCCAGGGGCAGGCTCCGCGCCGCCTCCCCCGGCCCCGCGCTCCCCTTGGCCCGCTTGGCCTTCGGCATGGCGAGCCGCGCACACGTGGGCGGGGGGAGCAGCGCAGCGCGCAGGCGCGCCCGGAACGTTGCGACTCTCAACGTTGCGACAGGCGCGTCCGACTCTTCGCTCTTAAAGGCGCCGCCGCCCAATTTTTACTTTCTTTTCTTTTCATCTTTTTTTTTTTACGCTGCCTTTCGAGGCGCAGACGGGGCTGGTGTGTGTAGGCCAGAGCTGGGACGGCTGTGAGCGGCTGAACCGCGTGTGAAGGGCGGCTGCTCGTCTGCCCGCTACCCACGTGCCCCCGGATCCGCGGCGGAGGAACCCCCGCGTGCCCGCATCGGCAGGGGGTTGCCCCCCGTCTCCTGCCCCCCACCCCCTGCCAGCGCCGCAGCTCGGCCTCCCCACCCACTTCTGGCCGCCTGACATCATTTCCTACTCGGCTCCCCACCCCCTCCACCGGGAGAGGACGGGGCTGGGCTAGAAACTCCGCTTCCTGCCCGGGAGAGGCGGCCCCCGCGCCTGGAAAGAGGATCCCGAGTAGGCAGGGGCTGGCCGGGAGCGCTGGGCCCAGCATGGGGGTCACCTGGTAGGGCCCCGGGGGTGAGCGGGCTGGGGGGGGGGCTTGCAGGGAGCAAAGGGGCGAGGGCAAGTGAGATCCCCCCACCTGGGGGGCCTGAATGTATTGGGGCCTGAAGATCCAGGCCCCACTGCGGTATCGCCACTGGGAGCAGGCGGTGAGAGGAGTGGGATGAGGCCCTGTGAGCAAGGGGCTGGGTGGTAGGCAGGGTTGGGGGGGCTGGCAAGAGACCAGGCTGGCTCAAGCCAGGTCAGCATCGCAGCTGCGAATACGGGGCAGCGACGGCACCAGGGGCCACTGTATAAAAACAGAGACGCAGGGTCCCCTTGTCGGCAAAGAAGCAAAAGGGCCTTGGGGACAAAGTCGTGCTCTGGGCGTCTGCTGTTGTCACCGGAACGGGGCAGACGCCTGGGGCAAAGCAGTCGCCGCCTGGCCGAGGCTTCTTCCTTGCGATGCTCGTCCTCCGTTTGCAGGGGTGGCAGGGACAGCATCGGGACCCGACACAGCTGTCACGGTGGCACTTTGTGCGGGGCAAATAGGCACTGTCTGTAGGGCTTTCTGGGTTGTGGAGCACAGCAGGGTTGAGGTGGCGGACTGGACTGAAAATGCCAGACATGGGGCTTTTGGGCGTGCCTGCCTGCTTCTGGAAGCGAGGGTTTCTGCTGTGGACCTGTAAAAGACCCGCTATCCAGCTCAGGGCTTTGTACTCGCGGAGCAGTCCATCCTCCATCTCTCTCACAAACTAGCAATGCAGGTTTATAATCAACCGTTTCGCTGGAAGCATGAGAAAAGTATGTGGGACCTAGCGGTGTGTGCGGACCACTGGCAGACCCCATGCCGAGGCCTCACAACCCCTAGTTTGGGAACTGCTGCTGTCGTTCAGCAAGGTAGAAATTACCGGGTAAGGCTCTGCGACCTGCGTTACATAAAAAGCCAGATTAGATGATCACAGCAATCCTTTGACAACCTTTAGACGTGGTAGTTACTTGTGCTAGTCATGTTTATTGCTGTAATGCTCCAGGCCCAGACATGAATGAGGCACTGAGTAACATCGGCCTTGCCCTCAAAAGCCGAGAGCAGCGGTTCTCAATCTTTTTAGACTTGAGGCATGCCTGGATAAATTAGAGGTGCCTGTTAGTTTTCACTTCTTGAACATGGGAAAATAATAGAGCGGTTTTTCCAATGTAAAGCACTCAGAAAGCCCCCAGCAATGGAAATCTGTTTGAAATCTCCGGGTTTATCTTGTGTTTGTATACCCAACTGTGCTATCATTATGTGGAACAATCTCAGGGTACCCCAAGGTACCCTGGCACCCTGGTTGAGAATCACTAGTGTGAGCGGATAAGACAGATCAAAGCGATGCTGACAGTACCGTCTAAATGCTCTGCAAAGCCAATGGTCGTCGTGTGTCGGCTTTTAATCTCTGTTCTAGACGCAAAACGCTGTTGTCTGGCTGTATTGCGTTCTGCCTTGGTTAAGGTGTCTCGGTATCTGTGGTTATTGACTCTTTTCTGTAACTCCTCTTCGACAGTGTATCTCAGGTGCCAGTGGCAGAGGGGAAGAGTGTCCAGCAGACAGTTGAAATCCTAACGAGGAAACTGGAGCTGCTTGGAGCAGAGAAACAAGGAACGTTTTGTGTCGACTGTGAGACCTACCACACAGCTGCCTCCACCATGGGCAACCAAGGTCAGCCTGTCGCTTCACTGTCTGAATGAAATGCTTTGCACAGGACCTTATATTGGTTGCAGTAGCTGGTAGCTCTGGTTGGGTTGAACTCTGCTGTCGTAATGAGGTAGATTATCGTGCTCTTATTTTTCTAGCTGGGAGCGCTAAAGCCAGCTCTGAGGCCTCTTCTTGCTCCTGTTTATACCTTTCTTTTCTCCAGTCGTCTCCCCAGCGTAGTGCTACTGAACGGGATTGAACTAGTGGTAGGAAGGAAGAGCTGTTCGGGCAAGCCTGGTCCGCACTGTATAATCCTGCTAGCAGGATTCAGTTCTTCTCCTGGAAGCGTGACCCCGCTCAAAGCTGCTATGTGGAATCAAAATCTTTTTCTTTTGCCTGCAGAGTGAGTTGATCTCTTGGATAGAAAGTAGGTTGCTATTTAAGAGCTAACAAAGGCTTGTGTGGACAGGCCCGTGCCGCCTTCTGGCTGCTGTGGTCCCGTTGGCACAGGGGTGAGCAAAATGGTGGATCCAGCTGGTGGCTGGACTCCATTACCCAGCAGCCCCTGCCAGCAGCAGTGGCATCCTGACAGTGTGGGGCCATGGTTTCCATGGAGACTGGCCCCAGCAGCGCTGGCAGAGCGCATGACTGGACAGGGAGCTGCTCCGGGGCTGGGATCTTTCCGTAGTGACAGCGTGGTCCAGAGCCAGGGCAGAGCCGTGATCCGCTGCCTGCATGCCCCTGCCCAGGGCGTGAGGACAGCAGGTCGCAGTTTTGTCCCAGCCCTGGACCACGCTGTCGCTGGCTCAAGATCCCTGTCCAGCCCTGTGCTCTGCCAGCGCTGCGGGGGCCAGTCTCCATGGGAACCCTGGCCCCATGCTGTCACAGTCCTGCTGCTGCTGGGGTCTCCATGGAAACTGGCTGCCGTGATGCAGGCAGGGGCTGCTGGGAAATGAAGTCTGCTGCAGGCTTAATCCGCTGGACTTTGCCTGCCCCAGCTTTAGCAGCTATGTCCCCGCAACGTGGGCCGTTCTGATGGGGCTGATGGCATGGAGCTCTGCATTCACTCTTGTGGCTGCTGACTCCTGGTAAAACTTTTGCCGTCCAGGTAGGAGAGAGACCTGGGGTCTGTTCTCTGACCTGGCTGTGATTCTGGGTGAGGTATGGTTAATCTTTGTGCCTCTGTGTTTTTTTCCCCCCTTCTAAAATGAAATAGCAATCCTAACCCACCTCATGTGGGGTTGGGGACTTAATTACAGGTTGGAAACACTTTAGGAGCCTTAGAGGACAGGTGATCGTAAATGCATGGTGTTGTTCACTCCTCTACAGCATTGTTATTGCAGAGCTAGGGTGCCTCACACCTTCCAGAATGCATCTGTACTTAAACCTGGGAAAACCAGGAAATGCAGAGCTAAGGACATGTCTGCTGTGCCTCACAGCCTCTCTTCTGACTGGCAAGACCTCCTGGGGTATACTGCAATTATGCTTCAGCCACAGCTGCTCTGCAATAAGCAGATGCAGGGAATGTGTAAATGTGCCACATTATATTCTCCTGTTTATCAGCATGCATCACCCTTGCTCTCCCCTGGGCCAGGGACAGCTGTATTTGCTGCCACAGGGATGGCTGACAGCTGCATTGAGATCATAGACTTTTCCTTCTTGTGCTGAGAATCACGGAGGTGTGAAGTGACCTCATTCATCAAAACAAGTTCTTAAATAGCTGGAGTTGAATACAACCTGGGCCGAGGTGTGAATTGATCCATTCATCACTGTTCTCCTTCTCCCTTCCACTGTCTGCCCCAGGGCTTGTTGTAGAATACCAGTTTTTAAGACAGTTTTACTAGATATGTGGTTTTGGAGCAACTTCATGCAAATCAACTCAGAGCAGGGGTGTTTAACCCCCTGGTCTGTAGGCCAGTTCTGGCCTGTGGAGCCGTGTCATTCAGCCCACAAAGTTCCCCACAGGTCCAGGTTTCTGGGTTTTTGGTTGTAGCCGTGTTGGTCCAAGGACCTAAGCAGGCAAGGTTCTTTGGGTAGATGTGATATGTTTTATTAGACCAACTGACTAGTTGGAAAAAAGTTCTTGGCAAGCTTTCGGGCGCTGTCACCCTTTGTCAGGCAGAGACTCCCTGTGCTTAACAAAGGGAGATTGCGCCCAAAAGCTTGTCAAGAACTTTCTTCCAACAACTCAATTGATCTAAAAAGATATCACATCTACCCAAAGAACCTTGCCCGCAAGTCCAAAAATTTGGTGGTGGGGGGAGCAACCCTGCTGCCAAATTTCCAGACCCTTGAGGAGCCCTGTGGGCTGGAAAGTGTGGCCCTGCATGCTAGATCAGGTGTGTGGGGCAGGGGAGGCAGTATGGTGGCCAATTCAGGTGCAGAGGGCCAAGGGGAGGTGGCACAGAGCCCAGACCAGGCGCCCAGGGCCCAGTTTGGCTCACAGACCCACTCCACATGACTCACGTGGCCAAAAGATTGAGCACTGCTGACTCAGAGAGCTGTATCTGAGGTATCCCTGGACTCCAGCCTGCACCACTAACACTACCCACAGGCCTGGTGCCCCTCAGCAATAACATCCTGGGCTGGCAGTGCTGTCTCACCTAAGGTTACAGAATTTCCATTTTAACTGGAGTGAAAAAGACTTGCAAATAAACGTCTTTCGGGCTAGAACATCATTTTCTAGAGGTTTGTTGCAGTGTGTGCACTGCTTGGTTTTTTTCCCAGAGGAGTTTATGGTGCAGGGGTGGCGGGGACAACCGTTGCGATTTGTGATGACTTTTTAAAAAAAGCACCACATGACTAAAATGCTTCCAGTATCGGACATTTCCTTTGGAGCTGGTCTTTAT